CAGGACATCAGCAGGAGCTTCAGAACACAGCATGCCCCAAGACGTACAGTCTCCAGAACGTACTGTGCATTGTTAAAAAAGTCTGGTGTAGTGGCACATACCTTTAATGCCAGCACTTAGGAAACAGAGGCAGGTGGGTCTCTGTGAGTGTGAGGCCAGCCTGGTCTACATACAGTGAGTTCCAGCCAGCCAGGGCTGCATAGTGAGACTTTATGGGGGGAAAAATCCAGGAAGAAAAATAAAAAGAAGGTGCAAAACTATGTTTATGACTATGTGCTGGCTTAGTAACTCAGAGGAAGGACTATAATTACATATACATATACATTACCACACACAAGCAGTTTGGTTTTAAAAAACAATAATGAATCAAAATGATAAAGATGAATCTTAGTAATAAAAATGACTTCCTATGGGAGCAAGAGGGGACTGGTAGGGGCATAATGAGATTAAAGGAAACTTCTATGAATGTACCTTACTATAGAGTTTGGAAATGTTATATATAAATGTTTCGTAAGATTTCAAAAACAAATTAAACTAAAAAGAAAAGTTCCTAGAAATTAGAAACCAAGTTGTAGCAAATGTGCCCAATGTCTTCCAGAGTGGAGCGACACACAGAGAGCACTGTGCCGGCTGCCTCTCCCTCAGGAACACAACCTGAGCCCCCCCCCACCTCCCTCAGGAACACAACCTGAGCCCCCCCCCCTCCCCCGCATCTCCCTCAGGAACACAACCTGAGCCCCCCTCCCCCGCATCTCCCTCAGGAACACAACCTGAGGCCCCCCCATCTCCCTCAGGAACACAATCTGAGCCCCCCTGCATCTCCCTCAGGAACACAACCTGAGGCCCCCCTCAACATCTCCCTCAGGAACACAACCTGAGGCCCCCCCCCAACATCTCCCTCAGGAACACAACCTGAGGCCAAAACAAACCCTCACATTTCCGCCTGAGTTCCAGGTTAGTAGTAGGAATCAAACACTGTAGGTATGTAGAATAAAGTAACGTAAAACACAATGGCGTCTTTCCAGAATCTGCTGGCACCGCTTGCCCCTACTGGCACTGGCACCTCTAACAACTCCCCTCACTCCCACAGCTCCTGAGAGTGCACTTTGCCTAACCAGTCAAGCAATCTGGCTTATGCTGGACACCTGCTTTTCCAGAAGCCTGGAACTTGGGTATACAGTAGTAAGCCAGTGTTTATGTGACCCCAGTAAAAAGCCTTGTGGGCCGGGGCTATAGCTCATGGGTAGAACGCTTGCTTCTCAGTACGTGAAACCCTAGATCCAATGCCCAATACTGTCACAGAAACAGAAAACTGTTAGCTTTCAGTGGCTGTGTTTACAGACTGGGGATGCTGCTCCTCTGGGAGAGTGCTTGCCTAGTATGCAGGAGGCCCTGGGTTTAGTCCCAACACCCCATAAACCAAGTGTGGCAGTGCATATCTGAAATCACATTACTAGGGATCCAGAGGCAGAAAGATCAGGAATGTAAGGCCAACCTCTGCTACATGAGACTGTCTCAAACAAAAACGTCCCAAACTCACCGCACGCACGCACGCACGCACGCACGCACGCACGCACGCACGCACGCGCTGCACACAGTCTCTATGGAGTTCCTGGCTGGACAATGCTTCATGACCTATTGACTCCTTGCTACTCGAGTTGGACACATCTGTGCAGCTCCAGTGGGGGCATTTTTGGACTTGGGTCAGTTTTCCTCCCTCCAGCTTTATCCCATGCCTTTTCTATGTCCTGTCACTGTGGTTACCACAGCTGTGAGGCCTCCTAGTTCATCACTGACCCTAAATTGGCCTTGGTGACCTCCAACATAGCAGGACAGAACAAATTAGTCATTTTGTTAATCTCTCTAGGGAATAAGACTGCCAGTATAAACCAAAGATACACGCTTAAAGCTGGCAAGATGGTTCAGTGGGTAAAGGCACTTGCAGCCAAGCTTGACAACCTAAGTTCAATCCCAGGGACCTTCACAGTGGAAGGAAAAACCCAACTCCTAAAGGTTGTTTGTTCTCTGACCTCTATGCACACATTGGCACACGCACACACTCACACATATACACACACAATAAATAAATGTAAAAAAAAAGTCTTAAGATACAATTGTACCTCACAAGGAAAAACACCAGCGTCTTCAGTTTGAATTCTAAACACCAGTGTGAATTCCAGTTCTTTGTCCACCGAGACAGGGTCTCACCGAGTGCAAACGGGCCTACAGTCTACTAGAGCCTAGCCTGCCCTCCAATTTACAGCAGCTGCTTGCTTTAGCTTCAGGTGCTGTAATGAGAGGTGTGAGCCACGATACCTGGCGCAAGTGCTTTCCCGAAAATCTCAGCGTGGCTGGGTGTGCTGGCACACCCTGGGCACACATCACAGTGCACGTACGGCTGAGGTGGGAGAAGAGTGGGTTCAAGGACAGACTGGCCTTCAAAGCAAGACCCTATCTCAAGTAACAAAACAAAGAAACAAAAACCAGGACGGTGGGAAGGCTCATGGCATAAAGGTTACCTACTACCAAGACTGCCAAACGGAGTTCTATCCCTGGAACCCACATGGTGGAAGAAGAGAACCAACTCCCAAATGTTGCTCTTTGACCTCCACACAAGCGCCCTCTCTTTCTCTCTCTCTCTGTCTCTCTCTCTCTCTCTCTCTCTCACACACACACACACACACTCTCCCAACAAACAAATACATATATAAACGTAATTTAGAAATTAAAAACAGGGGCTAGAGAGATGGCTCAGTAGCTAAGAGTACTTGTTGCTACTGCAGAGGACCTGGGTTCAATTCCCAGGACAGTCCATTGTGAACTGCCAGGGGATCCAACAGGCATGCACATGTTCATATACATATATGCAGGCAAAATATTCATACATATAAAGTAAAACCAAAAAAAAATTAAAAAAAAAACCTAGTCAAAACATCAAATAGAGGGCTGGTGTCTTAGTTAGAATTTTTATTGGTGTGAAGAGACACCATGACCACGGCAACTCTTACAAAGAAAACATGTAATTGTCGGGGGTGGAGCTCGTTTATAGTTTAGAGGTTCAGTCCATTATCATCATGGCAGGGAGCATGGCGACATGCAGGCAGACATGGTCCTGGAGGAGTAGCTGAGAGTCCTACATCTTTCAGGCAACAGGAAGTCAACTGAGAGTCACACTGAGGGAAGCTTGAGCAAAAGAGACCTCAAAGCCCATTTTCTTTCAAACCACCACAGCAATGGGATAGCTCAGTAGTTAAGAGTACTCAGTGTTCTTCCAAGAGGCCCTGGGTTCAGTTCCCAGCATCCACAAACTCCCTGAACTGCAGCTGGCAGTACAGAGGGGAATAATGAGTCTCAGCAGTGACCAGCAGTGGATGCTGCAGCCATTTAGGACAAAGAGTTCAGACTCAGGGAAGACCATCTGAACTTATGATGATCTCCCAATGCACAGGAGCCAGACACCATGATCCTGCTGACACCAACCACAACTGTAAAAACTGCGGGTCCAAAGCACCAGTTATGACAGGTACACCAAATAATAGAATGAATAGCCTTGGGTGCCTATATGGAACTTCCTGTGGGAACAGTGGCCACATAAAGAAGCAATCAGCCAAATCCTGGAATGTGTAAGTCACAGATGATAAAAACTTGCTTTCTCCAACAAATCAATGACAGAAGAAAATGGGGGTGTTGTACGAGAGTGGGTGGAAGAAGGGTGTTGCAGAATAAAGACATTCTTAGAGCAAAAGTCAAACCCAAAGCCAAGGTGATCATGTCACCCTCTGGGCCCCGCCCACACCTCTGGCTGCACCTCTCCGCCAGTCCCCTGGGTTCCAGCCACAGTCATCTCTGAGGTCCTGGACTAGCCCAGTGCTCCGGCTCCCTGCAGCACCTCCCCTGCCCTGGAACGCTATCCTCCCACCCTTCCTACTGCTCACCCTGTCTCCGCAGCAGGGACAGCCCAGTATGATTGGGTCCCTGCTCCTAGTTACTCACTCATATTCTACCTTGTGCTTCTCATGGAAGCAAAAAAATTTTTTTTTCATTTTTTTTCTGAGACAGGATTTCTTTGTGTAGCTCTGGCTGTCCTGGAACTCACTCTGTAGACCAGGCTGGCCTCACACTCACAGAGATCTGCCTGCCTCTGCCTTCTGAGTGCTGAAATTAAAGGTGTGCGCTACCACTGCCAGGCTCATGAAAGCAAATTTATTGCTTTTCTTTCCCAACTTTGGGAGACAGGATCTTACTATACAGCCCAGGCTGGCCTTGAATTCACAACCCTCTTGCCTTGCTCTCTTAAGTGCTGGGACTACAGGCATGCATCAGTAAGAACTGCTTTATATCTGTATCCCTCCCAAAGACAAGAAGCTCTTTGAAGGCAGAGGTCACGTTTTTTAGCAGTCTGACATGCAGCAGGAGCTAATAGAAGTCTTACCAGAAGCCAAGGGTGATGGCTCACACCTGTAGTCTCAGGAGGCTGAAGCAGAGAGGCTGCCTCAAGCCTAAAGCCAGCTAGACTCTGTCTCAAAATAAAATAAAAAGCTTAATAGAAATCTACCATTCAGGACTCACAGAGATACTGAGTTTGGGGCCAACCCTAGGTTATACAGTAAGACGCTGCCTCAAAAAATAAGTCAATATAAAAAAGACCTGAACACTGGGTAGCAGTGGCACATGCCTTTAATCCAAGCACTCAGGAGGCAGAACCGGGCGGATCTCTGTGAGTTCGAGGCCAGCTTGGTCTACAAAGCGAGATCCAAGACCAAAACTACACAGAGAAACCCTGTCTTGTTAAACCAAAAAAAAAAAAAAAGAAAAAAAAAAAAAGACCTGAACAACTGAAGGGCTGATCACCTGGTCCCATCCATCAGGTAGGAATCCAGGGACCATGCTAACTTGATAAGGGCCAGCACAGTCCCTGCTGCTCTTGGTTGTGGTGATAACTGCTGGGACAAGAACCTAGCCTGCCATTCAGAAAGCTGAGATCCCAGGGAAGGACTCACCGCCTCATGGGACTTGGGAATAGGCACGATGATGGCCAAGACACAGATGAGCTGGAAGATGGCTCCCAGGAAGAGCCCATACCGCAGTAGGTTCTCCAGGAAGGTGGGCTCTGGCACCTCAGGAGGCGAGAAGTCCAGGTCAGAGGCCATGGTACAAGTCACCACTGCCAGGAGCCTCTTGAGAGTCGTCCTTCTCCAGAACGAAGTTCTAAATGAAAAGAATGAATGTCTGTCTCAGTTCAGGTTTCTATTGCTGTGAAGAGACACCATAACCACGGCAACTTTATAAAAGAAAACATTCAACTGTGGTGGCTCGCTTACAGTTCAGAGGTTCAGTCCATTACTGTCATGGTGGGAAGCAAGGCAGCATGCAGGCAGACATGGTGCTGGAGAAGGAGCTGAAAGTTCTACATCTAGACTCATAGGCAACTGGAAGTGGTCTGAGACACTGGGCAGTATCTTGAACATATATGAGACCGCAAAGCCCAACTCCACAGTGATACACTTCTTCCAACAAGACCATACCTACTCCAACAAGGCCACACCTCCTAATAGTGCCACTCCCTTTGGGGGCCATTTTCTTTCAAACCACCACAGCCAGGTTTCCTCCCCCCCCCCCCACCCCCGAGATAGAGTTTTCTGTGTAACAGCTCTGGCTGTCCTGGAACTCACTATGTAGACCAGCCTGGCCTCAAACTCACAGAGATCCATCTGCCTCCGCCTCCAAAGTGCTGGGATTGAAGGTGTGCACCACCACCCAGGCTGGTTGCTGTTATTTTGAGAGAGGATCTGCCTGTGGAACACAGTCTGCTCACACTTTTAAGGAAACCTTCCTGCCTCAGTCTCCCACATGCTGGCATGCAGAGGTGTGCACTACCATGCCCAGCTCTAAACTACAAGTTTGAATGGAGAGGCAAAGAGGACATATGAAAACCTAGCCCACACAAGAAAGCTGGTAGATAGGTAACAGGTGGCCGGCCAGTCAGGCCTTAGCCCACCTCTCCTCTCGCCAGCCCTATCCCATTCTTTTCTCCACCCCCTCTGTCTCTGTCTCTCTGTCTTTGTCTGTTTGTCTGTCTGTCTGTCTGTCTCTCTCTCTCTCTCTCTCTCTCTCTCTCTCTCTCTCTCTCTCTCTCTCTCTCTCTCTCTTTGGTTTTTTGAGACAGGGTTTCTCTATATAACAGCTCTGGCTATCCTGGAACTTGCTCTGTAGACCAGACTGGCCTCGAACTCAGAGACCTTCCTGTCTCTGTGAGTGCTGGGACTAAAGGTGTGCACCACTGCCGCCTGGCCCCCATCCCATTCTTAATGCCTTGGTAAAGCTGGAAGAACTGCCTGTGGCTCTCCAAGAGTACCTGAGTCTTTCAAACCCTGAGCCCTCTAGGAAGCTTCCATCTGCCCAGAACAGCCTTCCCACCGTGACTGCTATTCAAAGCCCTACTCTACGACCAGGCCTGAGTGCAAGGGTCACCCTCCCCATCATGTCTTTCGTGTTACCCCTCTCCCTCGCTTCTTCATCATTGCCCCTCCAGGTGGCCTCCTTCTGCCGCCCCAACAATGAAGAGACAAATGTGGCCTCAGGTGTACCTGAGTGACAGCCTTCGCGCTTTCAGAGAGAGATCTGGGCCATGCCATGCAATCTCCAGCTAACTCTGAGCCACCTAATATGGTGCTCGTGGGCCACAAGTGGCCCCCAAATGCAGCTGGTCTGAATTGAAGTGAATGTTAAATTAAATCAGACCTAACTTCAAGACTTAATATGAAAGAATGTAAAATATCTCATTAGTAATGTTTTATGTTGATTATATGCTGAAATGGCATATTGTTAAATTATTAAAATTAAGTTAATTGAAAAAGAAAGTTGAAGAACTTATTTTATGAAGTCAAAACTTACTAGAAAGCTAAGGCAGTCAAAACAGAGAGCTACTGACATTGGAACAGACATCCAGACCAATGGAATAGCGAGCTTCAAATAAGCACATATAGGAGGGGACGGCTTTTAAGCAAATGGTGCTAGGAAATCGAGTATCCACACACAAAAACAAACAAGAGAGGCTGGGCGGTCCCCTGTACCCCACACACAGATTAGTTCAAATTGACCCGAGATCAAAGTATGAGTCCAAACTATAAAACTGCTAGAAGTCGTAAGGGAAATCTCTACAATACTGGATTTGGCAATGATTTCTCGGAAGTGACATCAAAAGCACAAACAACAAAAGAAAGAAGTCAATTAGACTCCACATAAAATCAAAACCTTTTGTTTAGAGGACATTTCTCAGAGAGTGAAAGACAGCCCAGAGAATGGAGGAAGACATTTGTGACTCACTCATATGGTAAAGGTCTAGGTCGGACAGACAAAGAACTTCCACAAGGCAACAATAAAACAGAGCCACAAAGTGGGTCCGGGAGAGAGGGCACCTCTCAGCTGGCTAGGGCAACTGCCACCAACTCTGACAACCTGAACTTGAAGAAGAGAGCAGACTCCCCAAAGCTGTCTTTTGACCATCACATATGTGCTGTAGCAAGTGTGTCTCTGTCCCCTAAAACTAAGTGAGAAAGTAAATAAAGGGGGAGCACGGGAAGCAGTCAGTTCAAGTCTGTAATCCCAGTACTCAGCTAGAAGATGAGTTCTAGGCCAGCCTGTGCTACCAAAACAGCAAGTTCAAAGCCAGCATGAGCACATAATGAGATTCAGTCTCAAAAACAGGAGGGTGGGGTTGGTGAGGTGGCTCAGCAGGTAAAGACACCTGAGGCCAAGCCTGAAGGCCTGAGCTTGATCTAGGATCAACATGGTGGAAGCCCAGAATCAGCTCTCACAAGTTGTACACACACACACACACACACAGAGGGGTGGGGGCGTGGGGGAGTGGGATTCTAAAATGTAAAAGGAGTATATAAAATGGACAGGTGAACACCAAGCATCAGTGGAAATGTGGAGAAACTGGAAGCTGTGAGCACTGCTATCTTAGTTATTGTTCTATTGCTGTGAAGAGACACCATGACTAAGGTGATTCTTATCAAAGAAAGCATTTAACTGGGGACTTGCTTACATTTTCAGAAGGTTAGTCCATGATCATCATGGCAGCAAGCAGACAGGCATGGCGCTGGAGCAGGAGCTGAGAGCTTTACACCCTGATCCTGATCCACAGGCAGCATACAGAGAGAGTGTGCCTAGTGTGGGTTTATGAAACTTCAAAGCCAATCTCACAGTGACACACCTCCTCCAAGGCCACACCTCCAAATCCTTCTCAAACAATTCACCAGTTGGGGACCACGCTTTCAAACACATGAGCCTATGGAGGTCATTCTCATTCACACCGCCACAGCTGCTGATGGGAGCATAAAGCTGGTACAGCAGCTGTGGCAACCAGTTTCTGCGTAGGTTGTGGAGTTTTTGTCTAAGAAGGTAAAGAAGTTCCAGAAGTAGTGGTAATAGTGGCACAACACAGCCAATGACACTGAACTTCTTCTCAGAAATGGTAAATGTTGAGCTACATTTAAAGGCACACATCTATAAATCCAGGACTTGGGAGGTGGATGCAGGAAAATCACAAGTTCAAAGTCAGCCTGGGCTGCATGAGACCATCTCCAAAAAGGCTAACTCTATGGTATATTTTAATACAAAACAAAATTTCACCTGTTTTTCTTCTTTTCTGTTTATTTACTTACTTATTTCATTTTACTTTTTTTGGACTCAGGTTCTCATGTAGCCCAGGCTGGCCTTGATGATCTCACTGCCTTCAACCCAAGTACTGAGATTACAGGTCTATACCATCATGCCTGGCTTACTTGCTTTGTATGCTTTAAATGTAAGTAGCTGAACATACGTTATACAGTTCTGTAGACTAGCCCTGCCCACCACAGCCTATCCAGAGACTAGCCCTGCCACCACAGGCTGTCCACATGATCTTCTCCATCTTAGCCCTGCTGTTCCTCTACTTTAAATGATGTTTCCAACATGATAAATAACTGAAGGATTATAAAATGGCCCACTATGTAAAAACGGAGTTTTTACACAATGATTATTGTTTCCCCTTCAACCTGGTCACTCTGGAAGGCCATGTGCTTGGCCAGCAAAACAGCCAATTTTCGCATCAGTTCAGCTTACTCCAGAAGCCTTTCCAAGCCTGAGCAACCCCCTCACTCACTGTCCCTGGCCCCATCCTTAGAGCTGTCAGATCTCCCTCCTCCCGAGACTTCTGGAAAGAGCCCAATGTTGTCTGGTTCCAACTATGGTGAATCAGGTGGGGCCTGGTGCTCAGGGATACCATCTTTGGTCATGTACAAGGTGCGAGGCACAGACAACCGGCAGACTGCTTGGAGCAGCTCCTAAGCTGGCCCTGAAGCGAATTCCAAGGCAGCCCAGCACAACTCCTGGAGGAACTGCCAGGCTCTCCAGAGCACCAGCCCTAGTGCCAAGGCTGAAGAAAGCTGTACTCCTCCAGTGGCACCTCATAAACTTAGTGCCCTTGACCACACTTCATGCTCAAGACTATGAGAAGTCTACCGAGGGCATCGATCCTCAGACTTACCATTATTGTGAGGGTTACAGGTACTATGATAGACAGGGCTAGGCATCAGGAAGCTGGAAGTGCACAGAGCATGACTATGGACATCTAGTACACTGTGGCTGATCCCTTGACTTCTTAGAGAGCTGATGTCATTTTGAGCCATCAACAAATGTGCCCAAAGCCATATCTACTTAGGCTTTTTTTTTCTTTAGTGGCCACCAGGCCAACATGTAACAAGAGTCATAAAACTGATGATATCCTTTGTCTGAATAACTTACTTCCTAGAATTTAGATTAAGGAAACAATTAAAAAGGAAAGGCCCCCAGGTACAAAGCGGTCTTGGCAGCACCATTCCTAACACTGGAAGGCAGGAAGCAACATCAGTGTCCAGCAGGAAGGGGGCTGGTGTTGGAGGATGGACACAGTGGGGCTTCACTGAAAGGACAGCACGCCGGCACATAAACACTGTGATCAAGCCAGGGGAGGTTTGGCAATGCCATACTAAGATATCAACAGAGCGACTGCAGCCCTGTATAAACGAATTTCACTGGCTGAAGACCAAAGGCAGACACTTGCAAAGTATCACTGTGGACAGATAGATGCCATTCTGGTGTGTCATGGAGCTTCCTCTCTAGTGAGTACTTACAGACATGGAGAGTGGGATGTCAGAGCTGAAAATCTGAAAACCCAGAGGAGA